CGTACTCCACACTACCCACTTCAGGTTCCTTCTTCTGTCCATCTAAATAACCCGTAAGTTCCCAGGAAGTAATGAAGAGCATGGCTGAAACAGACCATTCTCTGAAGTTATATTCATCCAACAATACACTGGTGATCTGCAAGCTGTGCAGATTTGGGTTTTCCAAATTAAAAGACCTCCCACTACTTCCATTATCCCTAGAAGGCACTTCTCCCGATATTGAAGACATCTCCTTCCTCTTACAGTGATCACAAATGAAAACTCAGTACAAAGAACACGATTTCAGACTTACCAAAGCTGTTACAAGTCTGTGTAACAGGTCTGAAACCAAGAACAATCCACCTCTGTACTGTGCTGAACTCTTCTGGATTAGGCTGGGCTTTGACTTCTGCTGTCGTAGACTGTGACCACCCTTACGATCTGTACTAGGACTATCTAATTCAGTCCTTCCACCTAGATCTGTTCCACACAGATCTCTCTTAGTAGCCGAATGGCTACTACCTGCTGCAGGGTGTCTAGTAGGGCATCAGCTTCTGGAACAAACTCCCCTTGGGCCCTACAACCAAGGGAAACCCTAGATACAGACCTTGCTGTGTTCTACGGTCAGCCCTAGGGTTTCTTCACAGCGGCCAAGATAGGAGAGAGAGAGAAAAAAAAAAGAATAGAGAAGAGGAGAAAAGAGGCGGCTGTAACCAGACAAACGGATTAGTGCTCTGATACCATGTTTGCTGGAAAACAGCAGCCGAAGAAGAAGAAGAAGAAGAGAAGAAGATTTGAGAATGGCGGCTTACATACTTCAGCCGGCCCTACAATATTATTATATAGATGTTTACAAAGTAATGTTACATGAATGGACTAGAATGCCCCTAATTAGTGATGGGACACCTAGACAAATAAGAAATTAAACAAGTTTAGGCCCAATAACTAAGAACTTAAGGCACAAATATGACTAACATAAACACTAAACCAGCCGAACCAACACAAAAGAATACTTGCATAGTGATCTCACAGAATTCTTTGCTTCGAGTGGATCTATTCAACGAAGCTCTTGTGCTCGGACACCCCAACAAAACGATGTTGCTGAAAGAAAAAATCGGCACCTTCTCAAAGTAGCTCGTGGCTTGTTACTCCATATGAATGTTCCGAAATGTTTTTGGATGGATGTTGTTCTGTGTGCCACGTACATCATTAACTGTATGCCATCTCGGTTACTAGAGTATAAGGCCCCTCATCAGCTTTTGTTTCCCACAACTCCATTGTCTCCCATTCCAATGCGTGTTTTTGGGTGTCGTTGCTTTGTTCATAACTTGTTCCCTATTCGGGGTAAACTTGATCCTCGTGCTATTCCTTGTGTTTTGGAGGAACCTAGTAGCTCCAATAGATGATAAAATGAAATAAAGTAGACTGAAAGTAATAAGAAATTATTCAAGTTAAAGAGGCTACAAGGGCTACAGGGGATAGTGGCAGACCAAAAAGGACATTGGTTGGAATAAGACTTAGATGATGATGATGATGGTCTGAAATAAAGAAGAGAAAGTGAAGATTGCACCTTCAGAGATAAAGGGATAGAAAACAAACAGAAAATTTCACTCATTCAACTCTAAATTTTCAATTAAATTGATAAAATATAATGGTATAGATCTCTCTTTGTGGACCTTGAATTCAATAAGGAAACTGACTAAAAACAACTCCTAAGTGCTATTAAGATAAACCCGTAGGCAAGCCATAGAGACACTCAAACAACTCTAAATAGCCAATACTGGTTGTTCTAAAATTAAGAAAACCAAAAACAACTCCAGGATGGGCTAAGAAAATAGACACTCAAATTCCATCACAAATGACACCTTCTTAGTAAAATAACTTTGAGTCTCTCAAAACATGTTGGATTTTTATGATTGTGGTCTCATTGGATAGATAATAACCCATCTGATGACCTATTACAAACATAGACACAGATGCAGAAAACAGGGTTTCGACTCCCTATTTCCTCAATCATATATGGATGTGTGCATCTTATGTAATATGTTTATATCTAGTTTTTGAAGCAAGTGTCATTTCTCAATACTTTTGTCTTGCCAAATTTAATTAAGTTTCTAACTTGTGCAGATTTTTTTTATAGCATCATTTGCTTCCATACGGAAGTTTTTGAAGCTAAGTGTCATTTCTCAAGACTTTGAGAGAAGTATCCATACCGTAGTTAGTATCATATCCAACACTAGTATGCTAGGCTCATACAGGTATCTGGGTGTCATAGCAAATGACACATAAAATCATGTAAAACAGACACCTTTTGACCCCTGGAAAATAAGCTGAAAGAATGTGATATAATTCATGTTTTCAAAAATCTAAAAGCCCTCTGAAAAGACACATTAAACTATTATAACCCTCTAAGATGACTAATCTTATCATTATGAAATTAAGGATTAGTTTGGGAAGAGTACAAATACAAATATTTGCGAGGCTAAGTTTGGGAAGAGTGCAAATACAATACAAGGTCTAGAAAAACCTTATACAGGGTTTTGCACTGTACATGTTTGTATTTGTACTCTTCCCAAACTGAGCCTAACAAACTACAATAGAACTTTAATCTTGATCAGCCAAAATTATGAAAATTGCTATTAGTTCAAGAATCTTTTGTATCTTGATTTGAATGCTACCTATGTTTTACCAATATATGCTTTTATCCTTTCTCTCAAAGAAAAAAAGAAAAAAAAAATGCATGCCCTTATGCTAATGCTAATACTTGGTTTGAGAGTGCTTTGGCAGGTGGAACTGGCATCAATCTGACTCCACCCCCCTTATCAATTATTAGGTTTGTTGTAGGCCTCCTCATGACATGGGTATATTCTTTCTTTTTTTTTCTTTTTCCATCAATTATGTTTGATATCTTCACACACACACACAACACTTTTTGTCTCTTCACATTTATTATTTTGATGGACTAGAGTACAAGGTTAGGGGTTTCGAAACTGTGTATGTTTGGATTGATGTTGCTTTCTTCTTGCAATCATTAGTTAATTATAGTTTGGCCCTTACTTTGTGAGTGTCTTTTATTTTTGGACCTCTATGTATGGTGTCACAAAATTTCTTTGACACAAATCTTAATGCTGCTCTATTTTGGCCCCATCTTTGTTGTCATATATTACTAGATTTCTTGTGCATATATCTTCATCTTTTGTATATCTAAGAAGACCAAATTGTTCATGAATATTAGTTTTAGTGATATGCTTGTAAACTTAAGTCTTCCATGCATTAACTATCTAACCGTGCTTTACAATATTAGATTTGTATCTGACCCCTGTATGTCAGCCTTTTGTGTATGTAATCTAAATCCTTTAAAAGGCATAAAGTAGCAACATAAAGTAGCCTTTTATGCATGGGTCAAGGGGGCAACAGCTTAGTCAATCTCTAAGTGCACAAATTTAATATCTTTACACTTCTTAAAAATGAGGATATAGTAGTAGAACAATCTCCAGCTGCAGAATATATTCACAAAATGAAAGTTTATAATGCAAAACAATAGAAACAAAGAACTCTTTAACATTAAACGTTGGAATGAAGTATAAAATCATTCTTTATTGGACAATTGAATCTATTTGGCTTTAATAATGGTAAATTTACTCAAACTTCGTAATGAGAGGTGAATGCATATCAAGATTTAGCTGGGTTAAAGCCAAAACAGTTTCATTTGAGTATGTTCAAATTGTTTGCCTCCAAGAAACTAAATGGAAGGGGGGGGAAGCTAAAGAAATTGATGGCGACAAATTATGATACACAGGAAAAGTAATTAATAGAAATGGAGTAGCGAAAATATAGATAACGATTGTTGAGTTTTGGGCTGATATCACTTGTTTTTATTTACATAGCATAGTTAAGGAGTTATTGGGCCCAAGGTTCATTAGTTTATGTTTAAGTTAAAAGTGTTTATTTAGATTTTACAAGTAGCCAGCTTACTAAGGGCATACTTGTATTTGTTTTCAGTTTTTATTTGTGAATATATAAGCTAATGGCCAGACCATGTTCTGGCTTCTCTCATTCTCTTCAATTTCTCTCCTCTTTTCTTCTTTGCACAAACCTTCTCTTCTCTTTCTTACACATATTTTATTTCAAAACAGATCTTCTACACTTTTCTACTTGGTATCAGAACAAGTTTAGAGATTGTTTGAGCTGTTCCATCATGCAGCCTTAGATCAGCCGATTGCATGATGAGGTAAAGAGCTGATCAAGGACTTCAATTAAGCCCAGTTTTTGGATTTTTTGGTGGATTTGTAATCCCTTGTAGTTGGTCTAGGGTTTAGCACTAAAATTAGGAAGAATTGGAGAAAGGGGAAGAGTCCTGATTTAGTAGGACTCTTCAATTTTGACTTGGGAAGTGGCGCTCTGGTTTTTTAGGGTTTCTTGAAGTTTTCCGAAGAGGGCGGTTCAAGTCCCAGCCTTTTTGGAGGCCTTTGGAGGGAGCGGCAGCCTCTTCCCTTTTACACTTTCTTTTTCTCTTCCCAGTCATCAGAGTCATCATGTCAGCAGGAACATTGAGTTAGAGTCAATGGGTCAGATTATGCTTTGGCATAATTGGTTAGGGCATTTGTCTAAAAAATGCAATTGAAAATGCTAAAAGAATTGGATATAGAATAATTTTTATTATATTTATTTTAGTTAAGGAAACCAATAACATTATTAGTACTTATGCACTGTAAGTGGGTTTAGAAGAAAACATTAAAAGACAATCTTGGGATTGATCCAAGAAATTCTAAATGAGAAGATTTTTATAGGAAGCAACTTAAATGAGCATGTGGGGAAAAAGTGCAAATTATAATAGGTGATAGAGGAGTCGGGTTTTGGTAAATGATTGATACATGAGATACAATTTTAGAATTTGCAATAGCTTACAATATGGTAATAGTAAACTATATTTCAAAAAGAAGGATGAACACTTGATAACATTTAAAAGTGGATCAAACACAAGTCAAATAGATTTTTTCTTTTCTGGGAGAATACAACAAATGATGTGTAAGGATTGCCAAGTTATTCCATGGAAAAGCTTAACCACAAAACATAGATTAGTGGTTGTAGATATGTGCATTTGGAAACAAAAGAGTAATAGGAAAGAAAATAGACTAATATTAGAAAGATGTTTTAGCACATTTTAGAGACAGATTGGTGGTAGAAGGAAAATGGAATTTAGATAGGAATAATGATATGTAGCTTGAAATGGCTAACTGTATAAAAGGAAAGTAGGAAAGGGTGTTTTAGGAGAATCTAGAGGGAAATGGCAGAGCGCTAAAGAAACTAAGTCTTGGTAGAGGATAACAAAATCAAGAGGAAAGATAGAAAAACTATTTTGACAATTATTAATAAACATGTACTGGTGCTAATGGGGAAGAGTTTAGTAGCTCTAATAGTTCTAAAAATAACATGTACCTTGATAAAATTAGAATCGTTTAAGTGTAGGCTCTACATTAGATGGAGGGAAAGTGTGTTAGGACCTAATGGGATTCCAATGGAAGTGTGGAAAGGTATGGGAGAGTACGGCTTATTATGGTTGATGAACTATTAAATAAGATAATGAATGAAAAGATGTCAACTGAATGGACAAAGAGCACTATAGTGCCTATATTTAAGAACAGAGGTGCTGTACAGAGTTGTAATAATATCATGGGGTTAAACTTATGAGACACACTATGAAACTATGGGAGAAATAATTGAGCAAAGGTAATGTAAACAGAAAACAAATTACATGCAACACCTCAAGTATACAACAACAAGCATAAGAAACACCACGTGCGGACATGCAGCGATAGAGGGATTGGAAGGTGCCAAAATGGGTTGACTCCTCAAAACCCAAGCTCACAATACTTAAAAACCTTACCTGGGGTTGAGCTACAGCTCAAACAAGAGAGAAAGAACCAAAAAGACCCCTACAGAAACAGTCCCCTTCTGGCATGTTGGACAAGCTAGTTAAAATATTTACACATAAACCCCTAGAATGTTTTTCTTTCACAAACAACTCCTTAAGAACAAACCTAACTTCAAACCAACTCCCAAAAGATAAATTTTGTTACAAAAAGAGCCAAGAGACCAAAACTCAATAGATGTACACCCAACTGCCCCTAACCAGAATCTGAATTATAAAATGATGAAAATACCCCTGGATCCAAACTGTCAACAAAGCTACCCAAAAACAACAATTTGGGATCCTATTGCAAAAACATGCAAAAAAGAATACATTCAAACTTTTTCCTTTTTTCTTCTTTTTTTTTCTTTTTTTGGCCTCATTCCCATTGGGTTAAAAAGAACTCGATCCCATGCAAGTAGCAAATTTAGCAGCCTTGCACATGTCTCCATCTAGCTTCATAAACTCCTCTTCACTAATCCAAGAATTCTCAATTGTTGGTTTCCCTTTCCACTTGACCAAGAACCTAAAAATAGGCGTCATTTCGAGTGTTAGTGACTTGGACATCTTCTACACTCTCTACTTGTTCAAATTCATTAGAATTCCTGGTAGGGGTGTCCGCGGTTCGGTTAATTGAACCATAGCCAAAATTTTCAAATCGAACCAGTCCTACTGATTTTTTGATTTCTCCAAACTGAAATCGAATCGGTACCACCGATTAACCGGTTGATCGGTTTTTTATATTTATAATATATTATATAAATATATGTATAATATTATATTATAAATAATAAATGATATATAACATATTATAAAACTTATAAAAATATATAATATTTATAAACAGGTTATTATAAATATTATATATGTATATAATACATAAATAATTATATATAATATATAGATAATATGTGACATATATTAAAAATATATATAATATACATATAAATGTATATACCAGTCGGTTCGGTTAACTGTCAGTTTTTTCTAGGTTAATGGAAAACCAAACCAGTCCTTCAGTTTTCAAAAATACCGAACCAAGCTGCATTTTCCGGTTTGGTTCAGTTTTTTTATGGGCACCCCTAATTCCTGGCCCTTTGTGCTTGTCCTTGCCCAACCTTTGTTGCTGGTTCTAGATCTCCATGGTAATCAAAGAGGTCTACAACATTAAAAATGGGTGAAATAGACAAATCAACTGGTAGTTCAACTTCATATGCATTGTCCCAAAACTGTCTCAGCACTTGACATGGCCCAATCTTTTTCTGCTTCAACTTGTGGTAAGTCCCAATAGGAAACCTCTCAAGCCGCAAATAAACCATGACTAGATCACCCTCATGGAAATCTTTCACCCGACGATGCTTATCCTTAGCTTCTTTGTACCTTAGATTGCTTTCTTTCAGCTTCTGGCATACCTTTTCTTAAATCTCTCGAATGGATTCAGCTAAAGCCTTGGCATCATCACTCACTCGCCGCAACCTTGTTATAGGATTCATATCGTACAATTCATGATTTGTGTTGGGGTTGTCATGATTTGAATCGTGCAATTCATATCGAATCGACCCCAAAATGATTCAAATCATATGTCCTAGTCGTTTTTAAATTAATCATGCGATTTATGTTCAAATCGTTGTATCAAATCGTAAACCGCAATTCAGAGCCGATTTAAACGATTAGAACCAAAACATAATTTAAGATAAAAAGACCATTTAGTCCTCCACATTTTTAAAAGTTACTACATCCAGGGGCAGCATTGTCATTCTGTTTTGATGCAAAACAGGGGCTCTGCCCCATTTCTTTCTTCTTCTTTTGACGCAAAACAGGGGCTCTACCCCATTTCTTTCATTCTTCTGGTTTTTTTGCATGGAAGGTAAGGGTTTTTTTTCTCTGATTTTTGTTATTTTTTTAGTTGTAGATGAAAGGGG